GTTAACAGTATGACATTTAAGGAGTTCGTTTTAAACACAGGAAAACAGATTCAAATTACAATAAACAAGTTGTTATCTTAAATGTTAAGACTTCTGAATAGGCTTACTGTCATCAAGCACCATATTAATCATACTGTAAAAAATGTAAAAGATCAATTTAGAGAAGTAAAAAGATCAATGGCTTAAACTCTTGAAATTAAAAAAAAGACAGTCCTAAAGTAGAGATTCATCCAAATATTTAAGATCAGAAGTTCTCTAGAGATGAATTTATATCAAGAATAAAACAGAGGTTGAATGAGTTTTTAAATATTTTTAAGAAGTTAACTCTAATATGTTCCAATTTATAAGTTGTGTACAACTGAAAGCTCCAAATATATTTTTAAAAAATGGACATAGTAAAACCATCTTCCTATGTGCTTATGTACAAACTAAACCAGATCTAAAATAATTCAGTTGGCCAAGGTCTATGCTAGGTACTGAGGGAGATAAAAGAATAAAATTTCCACCTGAAAGAACTGGAACAGTTACCCTGGAGAGGAAAGAATCTAAGAGGACTTTGAAGGGCAAATAACATTTCAACAGGTAAATGTGAGGGAGAGGTTACAATTATTAAAAAAAAAAAAAAAAAAAAGCAAAATTAATGGAAGAATGAAAATGCAGGGTTCATTGAGATTAGAGAGTATTAGTTTTAAAAAATATACTTGGGAAAAATCTTAATGATAAATCTGGAGAACTCAAAAGTTTTTGAGCACTTTTTTTCTTTGCCTTCTTTTCTTAAAAAAAAACAAAAACAAAAAACAAAAACAAACAACAAAAACCAAAAAAAAAAACCCACAAACTAACCTGTATATTAGAAAACAGAACTGGTAATCATGCATAGGAAAAATGCACTACCAGTACCCAGTTGGTATGGTATGTTCTGGCCCTGAAACAGCACAGCCCTTAGTGGGGAGGGAAGGTGTAGACAGGCCTGAGTTGCGGAGGACCATAAGTACTCTTGTGGGTTTCAGCAGAGCTCAGATTACGTGTTGGGTAAGAGAATATTTGGTCAGAGACAATATAAAAGCCATTAGCACTACTGTAACGAAAGAACTCAGCCTTAAGTGGAAAAGGTAGACAAAGAAGCTTGAGTGTAGATGGGAAAAAAAACTACTTGGTTGAGCAGCACCAAATACAAATTCAGCATCCTTCTTGAAACTCGGCTTCCCTAGCTCTCAGGCCACCATTCTTCTCTGGTCCTTCTACAGTCTTCACAAACCCTCATTTTCTCTACCAAAACCTAAAATGCTGTTTCCCAAACATTTCTTTTTACTCAACAAACCTTCTAGAGGAGCTTTCTCCAGTGCTTCACTTAAGAAAATACCTTTTAAATACCAGTAAGACCTCCAAACTTACATTATCCAGCCCTGATTTCTTTTTCCTAGCCTTATTCTCTAGCTGCAACCAAAGTTCTGTTGATACTTTCAAATTCAAAAAACTGGGATTGCATCTGTTCCATATCACTCCACTGGTTGCCTCTTAGTAGCTACCTTTGATAGTAGGAAAACTAGACCCTTTTATCAAACTTGTTCTTTCAAAATCACTAAACCCCATCAATTTTCAGTTTTTGTTTTTTATTCGTTCCTCCTAAGTCCTCTGCCACTTACCTAGTTTAGCCCTTATAATAGAAAGCCAGTCTTTGAAAGCTTTGCTGAATAAGCTATATTTGAGGTAGATCTTGGATGATGAGTAGGGGAACTTTAGATACAGAAGGGAGAGCAAGACATCACAGAAAGACCAGCTTGTAAAAGACAAAGATCAGATCACATCACATTTGAGGAATGTTGGATATGAGGCTTTAAAGAAAGATAAGCTGAGGCCAGATTGTACAGCCTTTTTTGTTTTTAAAGATTTATTTATTTCAGAGAGAGAGAGTGTGTGTGTGAGGATGGGTAGGGAGGGGCAGAGGGACGGGAGAAGCAAGCTCCCTGCTAAGCAGGGAGCCTGACTCTTGGCTCAATTCCAGGACTCTGAGATCACAACCTGAGCCAAAATCAAGAGTCAGATGTTCAACCAACTGAGCCACCCAGGTGCCCGCAGATCATACAGCCCTTTATGCCATGCTGAGGAGGCTTAATTTTGTAGAAAGGGAGATATTGAGTACTTGAAACAGAAGTGTTAAAAGGAGCTTGTGTTTTAGAAAGATAAACTTGTTTTATCAGAAGGAAGGTCCACTAGTTCCAAACTTTAGGCACTTGGAAACATGTGGGGACATTATTTGTATGTCACAATAACTGAGGGATGCTACTGGCATCTAGCAGGCAAAATCCAGGCACGTTGATGTTCTCCGCTGTAGGGAGCAGTCTCCCATAATGAACATCCTTCCCTAAAAGCCAGCAGGACCTCACTGGAAAACACTGAACTTCTGAGTTAAGCATTCAATAAATGTTTATTATGATGGGTTTTTAAAAATAAACATGTAAATTTATACTCACCTAGTTTTTAAGATGCCAGGAATAAATCCCTATTCAGTAAGTATAGAAAGTAGTAAAAAGAATACTGCCCAATTCAAGAGGGGTCTACTTCAACTGATGGCTCTTTCAGACAAGCTCTTGAAGAGATAAAACCACAAACTCTGGACAAAGTATAGAAATGGAAAGCAACCCAATAAAGGCTGATCAGTAATTTTTTTTTTTTTTCAGGCTGACACTGAAGAGAGTGCTTGGAAGAAGATAGGAGATGAATTTCCCATTTTATAGTTTTTGCCTGAGGGCAGCCCTCAGGCTGCATCATTGGAGCCTTTAGTTTCACAGACTTGAAGAACCCTGGGGCAGAGTTTGGGGCAATAGTAGCTGCAAGAAAAGGAAAAAAGAAATAATGGCAAGAAAAGAAGAGCGAGCTCCCTAATTTCTGTGTATGAACTGTGCCACACACTCTGGCTTCTCTCTAAACTGTGGACACACACAAAAGATTCCAGGTTAAAGAAGGGAATGGACATTTGAACTACTTCAGGGGAGCAAGAGTTGCAACTGAGTTCTGCCAGTTAACTTCCAGCTTTAAAAAAAAAAGTCTTTGGAGAAATGTATCATAACATAGAGTTTCTACATATTTTATTAGCCATGTCTCGGACAAAGTCTAAATTACTAACATATGAAGAAACAGGAAAATATAGTCTATTCTCAAAAGAAGAGGCAATTGAAGAAGATGAAATGAGCAGATAAAGATTTAAAGCAGCTATTTAACTATGTTCAAGGTTGTAAGGAAAATGTGCTTGCCGTAAATGAAGATAGGAAATCGCAGCAGCACAGACATATAAATTATAAAAATGTGAAGGGATTTCTAGAACTAAGAAATATAGTAGTTAAAAAAGTTCACTGAATGAGCTTAAAAGGGATTACAGAAAAGTCAGTGACCTAGAACAGTGATCAACAGATATAATCCAACTGAAGAAAAGAGGAAAAAAAGATGAAAAAAAAAAGATCTATGAGATGATATCAAAAGTTCTAGCACATATGTAAAAGGGGAGGAAAGAAAAATGAGATTGAGAAATAGCTGACAAAATTTTCATTTTCAGAGGGAAATAGGTTTTTTTATACACACAGGGAGAAAACAATTTGAATATACTGACTTCTTACTGGAAACAATGGAGGCCAGAAGACAGTGGAGGACTATCTTTAAAGCGCGAAAGGGGGGAATAAACTGTCAATGCAGAATTATATATGCAGCAAAGCACTCTTCAAAAAGGAAAAGAAAGTAAAGACATTTTCATGTATAAGGAAACTAGGATAATTCATTGCCAGCATACCTGAACAGTCATATAGATGGTAATATTTTTCAGGCTGACATGAATGATATTACAAGGAAACTTGGATTTTCAGAAAGGAAAAAAGCATTGGAAATGACAATGTGGGTCAATATAAATGAGGTTTTTTCCCCTTGTTTAAAGTGACACGACTACTCAAAGTAAATTATCACGGTGGGGAGTCTGTAATGTATGCTACCTGCAATTCATAGAACAACTCTAAGATAACAAATGAAGGAAGTGGGTAAACACCCTGTATGGTTACAAGGTTTCTATATTTTATGTGAAGTGGGACAAATATTAACTGTAAATAGGTTGTGTCAAGTTTTATATCTTGATATGGGCTTGGTTTACTCAAGTGTATGCATTTATTAAGATTCATGGATTAGTACACTTCACATTTATGTATTTCATGGAATGCAAATTTTACCTATAAAGAAAAAAAATTTTTTTTAAAGTAAATCTTTAGCTAACAATATACAAGTTGAATTCTATAGGAAGAAAGAGTACTGTGATGTCCGAAACTTGTATTGCCTGTATTAAAACAATAAGATAGGTGGATTGATGGATAGAGGGATGGATAAATGCGTGCTAAAGTGAATGCAGTAATATTTTAATTGTAGAACCTACATGGTGGTTATATACACATTCTCTGTAAAATATATTTTAACTTTTATATGTTTGAAAATTTTCATAAGAAAATGTTAAAAAAAGAATACTGCCAATCTACGTTTGTAATCAGGTCAGGGTGGAAAAAATAAAACAGGAAAAAGGGGAAAACTGTGAAATGGAGGATACAAAAAACTATATAGAAGGAAAGAAAAGAGAATAAAACTAAAACAGAGGTAGAAAGAACTAAATGATAAGGGAGAGATAGGGATGGGGGAAAAAAAAAGAGAGAAAGAAAAGGAGATTCATGGGAAAATGGAAATGATAAAATGTTATTATTACTGTTGGTCTTCAGAAACTTTCCAATAAATTAGTTTTGAAGTTAAAAATTACAAAGAAGTATCTTGTTATGGAATTCAATATTATGCACATGTGAAAATTTAGGTATTTTCCTCAAGATCTGAAAACTTGTTTACTTCCGGTCTAAAAGTCCCTTTGACTTCCAAAATTGTTTGACTATATGTTTTGCCATTGAAAATTCTATAGGGCATCAATTGCAGTTGTAATATTATCAACCACTATTTACTTAGGACCAGATCCGGAAAGTAAAAAGTTTCTAATCTTCCAAGTTCCACCCCCTAAACTAGCAGCTCTACTCATCACCTAGTGTCTCATTTCAAAGCTGATGCTTTTCACTTAGCAATATTTCCAGGAAACTTTTGACTTACCATATAAATATATTCTTCTTTATCATTTCAATGCTAAGTGTTTCATAATTAAATAATTGTTAATTAAGCTATGCTTCATAGATATACTCTCCAAGAAGCAGTATTTTTCCTCCCATCCAAGTACTAACCAGGCCCGACCCTGCTTAGAAAGCAGTATTTTTCCTTATCAATCATGTAACATCTATGAAGGCAAGGCCCATGTCTAGGTATTGCTACCTAGCACAGTGTTTAGTACACAGAAGGTCCTTGGTAAATATTATTGGATGACTGACTCACAATACCCCTTTCTCAACTGATTGTAAACAGAAATTATCAAGTTAAGAGAATGGCAAATTTTGACTAATTACAAGAGATATAAGTTTTAATAGCATTCTGTTCCTATGTATGGGAATCCTAGATTTCAACATATTTTGCTATCTCAAATAGTTTAAAGGACTTACTGAGAAATGACTAACTCAAAACTTTTAAAAATGGAAAGTCGAGCGATGACTTTATATTATAAAAATAAGTGCCTGTTTTGCTTATTACTAGTAATAAATCTATATTCTTATGAAGTTCAAAGGAAAGAGAAACTGGTATTTGTCTTTATCTAAGTCAGATCCAACTTTTATGAAGACAGTAATAAGCTCAGATCAGAATCAAATAAATTTCAGAACTCAGTTTGAGAGGAAAAGGAAGGGCTTTAGTTAAAATCTTTACAATAAAATAATTATGATTATAAATCTCTTCAGTTAAATATGTACACATTACATGGTATTTTAAAAAAGAATGAAAGTGAGTAGTTTTTCAAGCAAATCTAATGCACAAATATACCATCTTTTAGAGTATAATGTCAGTTGAACATTCTTAAACAGCTGTGTCAGACAATGGCTCTGCTTTGTGCAAAACATGATAAGCAAAATTAAGAAAAATTCTGCAAAATTCTTTAGTTCACCAAGGAAATTACTAAAAAAGAAAATAGTAAAAGGGAAAAAAAAGGTGTACACTCGAGCTTGATTGTATACAGAGGCTAGAATGACCAGCACTAATATAACCCCCATATCTGCTAAATAAGTCCTTGGGTAACTTTAGTTTGAAGTTAATAGTTGAAGTCCTAGCAATTGTGCTTTTATGCAGCCACATGGCCAATAAGGTAGATGTTGTCATAAAGGTGCCCTACAAAATCTTCACTAATGTTTTGAGCAGCACGACGGGTATTTCGAATAAATTCTCTTTTTGACATTTTATTCTTCACATGAGGGCTAGTGAGGTCAATGGAAAGTAGAATCAAAGAGTAGCACAGTACATAGACAGCATCTGGAATTAAAAAGAAACACCTCAAATTATTAGGTGGTTTGAAAAATGTGGTCCTAAAGGAATTATCTAATGCAAAATTTTTCATAATATAAATAAATTGAGATTGGCTCATAACTAAACATAGAATGGCTAACTCATCTCAGTTTGTCTGGGCCTTTTCCAATTTTAGCATTGAAAATCCTGTGTCATGGGAAATTCTTCAGTCCCAGACAAACAGGGATAGTTGATCATCCTAACTGATCACCAATTAATGACTATTTCCTTCAACTCCTAAAGCATTTTAGAATAGTTTAGGAATTTATAATAAAAGCTCATTTCAAATTAAAAAATTTCAGAATTGGCTTTATTTTCATCTTTGCTTTCAAATGTGATACTCCCTTTCAATGACCCGTAAAATACATTTGTACTGTTACAAGTATAGTAGTTAAAAAACTACTTCCTATTTAAAAAAAAAACCACATATTTATTTACATAGAATGTTTTTATAAAAATCTAACTGGAAAATATTTAATGACAAAGACATGCATTAACAGTCCTTCAAAATAAAATGTAAACAATTTATAAGATTATTAAATTAATATCTTCCTTTGAGACATGTATTTTTAAGGTCCATGGAATTTATGTATTAATTTCAAAAGTAAATTTTTAGGGACAAGATTGTTAAACCTGAGCAGTATGCAACAACAACAACAAAACGTCTTTATATCTACACAAGGCAATATCTGATGTTTACTATCAAAATATTAACAAACCACAAGATACTTGTATTATTATTTGCTACAACTACTTGCTAGTATTATGGGGTTTTAATTTCAGAATCCTACAGTCTTTATAAAGCAAAGTTAAATATTATGTTTTATAAAGGCATTTTCAACCAATTTCATGTGATGGGTAAATGTTTTTGTAATCTCCACTTAATAAGCACAATAAAATTTTTGAGATGAAGAGAAAAGTGAAGCTTTATCAAATGAAAAAATACACAGGATACTCAGGTTCTATTGCACATATGTAGATATACACTCATACACACATTATGAAAATTAGTTGTATTAAAAATAAATTTTAGTAGAAAAATTCTAGGTGTTAACCTATGTAATATATAAACTATGAAAAGCTTTAAAAATAATTTCTCAAGTTTTTATTTAAATTAGTAATACCCAATTCTCAATCAAGAATAATTTTAATGCATCTATAGCTAAGTCTTAACTTTCTTCCTAAAAGAGTGTGTTTACTACATATAAATGACAGCCATGACAAAACTATTCTAAACTCACATAAATGTTGTAGTCTATAGAATTACTCATTGCTACAAGTAGTAAAAGAAATACTTGTAATGACTGAAAGCATGTTTCCCCCTGGTGAGAAAAAAAGTCTCATATACTACTATTTTTACCTACAGGTGGGAAGGGGAATGGAAGGAATTCACTATACATATTCTTACCAGGACTAAGGCCAAGTTCTCGCATTAAATCAGGGTTACAAGCACAGAATCTATGTGAGAACTTTGTTATTAGAGTTTCAAGATACTCCCCACGCTCTTCAGGGGCATGGATATGACGAAAAAATTCTCTCAGTGCGTTAGGCAAAAATTGATTTCTAAAATTATGCAACGTTACAAGGTCATCCAAGACATCTCTCCTAGTGGAAAAAGAAAAGGATATAGCTTTAGTCAACAGTTCTCCACTAAAAAAATGATAAGGACTCATAAATTATGTTTTTGGATGAAACTTTATTATCAATTCTCAGATCAGCTAATCCTACAAAGTATACATAATCCTTAAAATTAAAAAATCCAACTCTGATTATTTGAGACATTAAATAATTTTTAAATTTTCTGTGAATAGGTTATAACAAAGTAAGGTGAAACTAGTAATTCTAATTATAAAATGAAGAAAAAATTTTGCAATATTAAAAGGGGCAGCTTCTTTTCGTGTGTGTGTGTGTGTGTGTGTGTGTGTGTGTGTGTGTTTTGGCTAAATTCAAACAGCAACAGAATTCTTTATGTTTTTTAACTATGAAAATAATAACAGTTTTCACTTTTCACAGCAATCCACACCACCAGAGGTAACAACTATTTATGTAGACTTTAAAAAATGTCAACATATAGTATATATTTTTCTAGTATTTGCTTTTCTCATTTCATCCGGTATATTGTGAACAGCTTTCTATATCTTTACACACAGATCTAAGTCATTCTTTTTAATGACTCATCAGTACCCCATCTTATGGAGGTAACAATTCTACTTATATACATTTGGGTTATTTACAATTAAATAAATATTTGTGTAAGTGTATGTGTGTACATGTGTGTATAAATATTTGTATATGTGTACACGTATTTTTTATCAATGACAATCTAATATATAGTCATCCTCTGTTTAACTACACTTCAATTCTTGCTGAGCTCAACCATGATTATAAGATCATAATCTTTAATTTCTATCAATTGTTTATGGTAGGGATAGGCAAATTATAGCTAGTGAGCCAAATATGGCCCACTACCTATTTTTATAAATAAAATTTTATTAGAACACAGCCATACTCATTTGTTTACATACCGTTTGTCTGCTTTCAGACTACAATGGCAGTTATAAATAGCTGTGAGAAAAATTTCTCAACTACATGACCGCTATATGGTATAGTTATAAAAGTAAAGCTTAACTCATTAAAAGCATTATCTAACTCATTTCTGATGAAAACTTGAATTTTTTTTTTTTTTACCTTTCATCAAGATAGATTCTCAGTTTTTTCCAATTTAGTGTTCTTGTACAGAAGATAAACTTTGCTATTTCCTTTGGTGAATCATCTAGGATACCCTTGGACATAAAGTAGTTCACTCCCTAAGGCAGAAAGACAAGTCTACATAAATAAAGTCAGTCTTTATTTATAAATTTTATCAATCAGGTGATAGCGGAACAATAGCCATAAATTCTTTCCAGCATAAATAGACTTTTTATAGCTTTAACATGCAAAATACAAGCTAGAACTTGAGCTGAAACTATTACATGTGGTTGAGAGTTTACATGCAATGAAAAGTAGGAAATTCAAAGTTAAGACTCCTAAAGTCACCTTAATTCAATTTTCTGGCTCATGTCAGTTAAAACTAACTATACAGAAATATGGCTTATATGGTGGTGGTGGTTGGGGGGCAGGGGAAACTACTATGCAGACGATAAAATAAGCCTTGAAACAAACAGTTCCACTGCCTAATAGAAAACGTGATTTCTTAGACATATTCTAATACACTATTCAAGGAAAAAGCTTCTTGAGAAAAAAAGATTCTCCAAATCAAAGATCAACAATTTTATTCTATAAAGAAAGATAATTAAATTATTTGACTTAAAGTAGGCACAGTTCCAGGTGGGTTTATTGTCTGTACACACTTTGGCTTTAGTGTGTAGCATCGCTACGTTACACAAGAATTTAGCTTCAACATATAGTGAGGCAAAATATAAGACAAAACAATTGCAATGTTTTTTCATAGGATTTATCTTTGAATTTCCTTTTCCCTGCATGCAAAGTTTTCCAGAGAAGCATTATCCACATTTTGTACCTATTTTAGATTTAAATCAACAACAAAACATCAACCAAAAAACTGAACAATGAAACCAATGTTTTCTTATGTATATGGAGGTCACATTCAAATAAATACCTTATGTGGATTTGAATGTGCAGTTATTGAAATAAAAGGCAGGTGTGTTTATTTCAACTCGTAGTTATCCAGATACATGCGTTCCCATGAATACTTATGTCTGGATAATAGCACACTGTGTGCAGCTAATTAGTAGAGAAAATGATGTATTATATACACGCAACATAGTGTTTTCACACATAAATTCCTTCAGCATTTCTTCCCTTTTACAAACACATATAGTACTCAGAAATATTGCACCCATTAAGAATTCAAAAAGTTGGAAGAATTTTTATGACACACTCTTCAGATAAAAAAGTGTCATAAAATTTTTGTATTAAAAAATTAAAAATCAGTTTGGTACCATGAGGTAATACCTTTGAAAGGTTATAATTATCTGTAAATTATAATTCAAAGATAAGATTTTTTAATATAAAACTAATTTTATGAGCCATGAGGATAATATCCTAATGACAATGTTATCAGTTTCTCATGTGAATTTTAATAGCACAAAAGCAGTGCTAAAGCACTGGATTTAAAAATGTGTCTAAGAAGAACAGAATGTGAAAACATGAAACTTTCTGGTCAACTCAAATGTAAGTGGTATTTCAGACTGCATCCTGGATACAAGGCTAGGAAATACAACATGGTCAAGATGGAAAGCCAAAGAATTTGTCTGGAATGAGGCTCTCAGCAATTGTCTGAAGGGGTAGGAACTAAAGAAATAGTAATGCTTGTTCCATCCTTTCCTCCATTAGTTTGAAAAATCGAGAGTTGACTGTATGTTTTAATTCATCTACTTAGTAAAAACTGTCTTTTGATTTTTTCCAAAATTCCTCCATTTGAGAGAATAACAAAATTTCAGAAGTATATTGTGCTTAATTTAAATCTAAGCTAGTCAAACCCCAAGGAATGTCAACTAATTATTTAATAAGGTCTTTATTTATGCTCAATACTTAAGAGATGCAAAACTAATTCTAATCAATTTTTAGAATTATACAAAATATTAAAAAAACTAAATGATCCATTAAATAGTACATAATTCCCTAAACATGATATATGTCTTTTAATATCATTTGATGCTCCTTAGTTACAAAATAGCATTGGTATTTGCCTCATGTAAGCATCCTAAAAATATGTTGTTGATAATTTTCTTTTTTAAGGAATACAAGTTTTAAAAATTTAATCTCTCACCTAACTCGAAGTCTCCAAAATCAATCATATACAGAGGTGTAAGCAAGAACACAAACAGCTTTAAACCCAATCCTGAAAATGAGGGACATAGCTTGAAATAAGCCAACTCTGTTGGCTTTATGAGGAAAGGAGGTATCAGTTTTCAAGCCTGGGATTTCTCTGGAAAGGAAGATTACTTCAGAAGGGCTATCAAAGTGATGGGTCAAGGGGTATGAAACAGGAAAAGGCACGAGATCAGTTTATAATTTTTTTCAATAACCAAGCGGCAACCATCCAAATTCTTATCTTGTTATGTAACTGATGAACTACAAAAGAAAACACAATATGAGATTGGCTAAATAACTACATTTGTTTACTACATGGTATACGTATTTTTAAAAATTTTTAATATAGTGGGTTTTTTAAAAAGATTTTATTTATTTATTTGACAGAGAGACACAGTGAGAGAGGGAACACAAGCAGAGGGAGTGAGAGAGAGAGAAGCAGGCTTCCCACTGAGCAGGGAGCTAGATGCAGGGCTTGATCCCAGGACCCCAGGATCATGACGCGAGGCAAAGGCAGACGCTTAATGACTGAGCCACCCAGGTGCCCCAAATATAGTTTTAAAAGAATGGTACAGAGAGATCCCCACACCACAAAGCATGTTACTAATCAGGACTAGAGCTCTCAGCAGAGTGAGAGTATGCATGTGGTGTCTCATAGACAAAGGAAATCATGAACATCAGTATTAGTCTATACTAACATAGTTTCCAGAAAAAAAAACAGAAGGCAGTAGCTCACTATTGGTCACATAATTCACTACAAAAGTGTCAGATTCTGGACGTCACATTTTGTGGGGTATATTGACAAACTAGAATTTATCTGGATAAAGGAAATCAGGACCTCATAAGATTGTTGAAGGGTATAGAATCCCTGTTAGATAAGGAAGGAAGAGCTGAAGGATGAACTGATATTAGGCATAAAGAAGATACTTAAGAAGATTAAGATTTTGAGACATCTGAAAGGTTTTATCATAAGGAAAAAGAACATTGTATGTGGTTTTAGTCAAGATCTTAAGCTGATGAAAAGTAAAGAACTTCTTTCCAGAATAATGCACATACACATTTTTAAAATATACATTAAATGCCTGAAGCCCATCTAAGGACTCCAAGTTGGGAATCCCTATCCTAGATGATGCAGGAGTATGGCTACTGAGTGTCCATAATACAAAGGGAGGTTAGTGCCATATAAGGAAGACCATGCTTGGAATTATAGCTGAGTTGTTCAAGGCCAGTGTGGTTTGTCATTTGCTTGATTCTTTTTTTTTTTTTTTTTTACATTCCAAAATAAGCTTAAGCTTCAAATTATTACTTAGTTTAGTTTGATTGCTTAATCTGTATACATTTTAACTCCATTATGCAAACTCGACACTGTTCAACTTGCAGAATTATCTGGATTCTTAGTTATGGTGTAGTTCCTCCTCTTTCACATGGTAATAATTCTATGACATTTCTGTCATATAACTTATAAACTTATATAACATATAAATCATGATGGTGCCAGTCCTATAATGAATTGGCTCCATAGCATAAAGGGAAGCTTTGTCATCTGGAAGAAGACAATTGACCAAAATGGATTTTATTAAAAAAAAAAAAAAAAGTCTTATTTATTTATTTATTTATTTATTAAAGATTTTATTTATTTATCTGTCAGAGAGAGAGAGAGGGAGCACAGCAGGGGGAGTGGCAGATGGAGGGAGGAGCAGGCTCCCCACTGAGCAAGGAGCCCCACTGAACAAGGAGTCCCAGGTGGACTTGATCCCACTGGGATCATGACCCGAGTCAAAGGCAGACACCTAATCAACTAAGCCACCGAGGCATCCCTAAAAAAAAAAAGTTTTATTTTTATTTTTAAAATTTTTTCAATAGTTTTAAAGGAAAGTTACAGTGGGATAAATGAAAGTCGTATCATGAAAATAGGTTGGCTATATACATTAAGATTCATTATTTCTCTGGAAAATAATAAAAGTAAATAATATTCATATTACAAATTCTAAATTCCTTACTAATGTGAGAGAGAGAGTGAGCGATCATGTGCCTGAGCAGGGGTGGGGCAGAGAGAAAATCTTAAGCAAGCTCTATGCTCAGTGCATACTAGGGGCTTGATCTCACAACCCTGAGATCATGACCTGAGCCAAAATCAAGAGTCAGATACTTAACCAACTGAGTCACCCAAGTGCCAGAGAAAAGAGATATTCTTATAACCATAAATATTAATTTGGAAAAAAATCCAAAAATTTAAAATCCACTCTATAACTCGACAAATGTGTCAATCTTTCTCGCTGCTAACAGGATCGGTGCCCCAGTAATGTAATTTTTTTTCAGATATTTGTTTTTTCTATTAATTATTTTTATTAACATGTAATGTATTATTTGCCCCAGGGATACAGGTCTGTGAATCGTCAGGCTTACACATTTCACAGCACTCGCCATATCACATATCCTCCTCAATGTCCATAACCCAACCACTCTCTCAAAACCCCCTCTCTCCCGAGCAACCCTCAGTTTGTTTTGTGAGATTAAGAGTCTCTTACAGTTTGTCTCCCTCCTGATCCCACCTTGTTTCATTTTTTCCTTCTTTACCCTCTAACCCCCACACCCTGCCTCTCAAATTCCTCATATCAGGGAGATCATAGGATAATTGTCTTTCTCTGATTCACTTATTTTGCTAGGAGCTGGTTCTCTGAAAGAATTAATAAGGCTGATAAACCCCTGGCCAGACTTACCAAAAAGAAAACAGAAAGGACCCAAATAAATAAAATCATGAATGAAAGAGGAGAGATCACGACCAACACCAAAGAAATACAAACAATTTTAAGAACATATTATGAGCAACTATACACCAGCAAATCTGACAATCTGGAAGAAATGGATGGATTCCTCAAGACATATAAACAAACTGAACCAGGAAGAAATAGAAAACCTGAACAGACACATAACCAGTAAGGAGATTGAAGCAGTCACCAAAAATCTCCCA